GCGCAAATCTCAGCCTTCCTCCCCTGATCGCGGGGCCGAGCAGAGCCCTCCTGCCAAAGGCAGCCCCTCGCTCGTGCCGCTGCACCGCCCTTGGTTAAAGCCATGTGCCGGCTGCGGGTTTAACCAGGCGCTGCTATGAGCAAATGGGCTCCCGGCCGACATTCGGCCCCGGCTGCTGAGCCGCTGCCAGCCCCGGATGCCTCCTCCCTGCCCTGGAGGGTTTTTTTAAGCATTAACCTTTGGTCGAGGCACTGTTTCCTTTCCCTGCTCCTGGTGCAGAGCAGGGAGGATGCATCGCCATTTGGGTGCCCTGGGCAGGAGAATGCTCCCGCCTGTGACTGTAGTGCTGCATTTTCACAGCACTTCCTGAAGAGCTCATCCCCACCAGACCCATCTCCAGAGCTGCCCCATGAGCACCCCAACCCTGCTTTGCTGCCCCATCCACACAGCCTGTGACTGGTCCTGTCTTGAGGACATGCACTCCAAATCAGGCACAGAGGGAAGTGGGCACAGCTTGCAGCACCGCTCTGCCCCTGCCCTTCCATTGACCCCACTGACACCAGTCCCTGTTTCCACCTTCCCACCCCATCCCTGCTGCCCAACCAGCACCAGGCATGAGGCTCAGTCCTCCTTGATCTCCTGCTGACTCCAGGTCATGAACTTGGCCCTTCTGTACATCTCCATCCCATTTTAGATGAGGCAACCAGGACCATAAGGGTCTCCTCCCTGCTGCGGCTTGCCCCACACCACATGGCAAGGGGAGAAATGGGTCTCTGATCCTACCCAAAAAGCCTCAAGGTAAATAACAACGATTCAATTATTATGCTGGAGGAAACAGGATTTACCCATTTAATTGTATATAAAATTAGACATTGACCTGGTATAGATGCCTGTGTTTTGTAATAAGGAGAGAAACTAATCAGTTTGAAGATGAGCGCAGTCCTTAAAGCATGGTTAGATCCCATTTACTCCATTGAACAGAACGGGTGGATGGTTCACGTTGTAAAATGGTTTTATAAAATGTAGTGAACTGTACAATGACGTGTTTTATTTGCCTCCTGTGGTTTAGATTCATATTTTGCTTTAGCATAAGTTAAACAAAATTAAGACTATGATTATGCTAAGAGGATGTAGCCAGTAAAGACAGAAAATGTTGAACTCTTCAAAGTCATAAAGAATTGTCAACTGTGCAATTAGTAAAGGCTGAACATACACACTGAAGTCTATTAAGTCATAAATGAATGAGAAAAATGTAGTGCTTGAAAATTTAATGCATATTTGTCTTAAGTATTTTAAATTAATTGCTATTGGCTACAATCTTTAGAAAATATAAGATTTAAGTAAGGTACAGTATAAACCCTCCTATAAAGTAAATCTAATTACATAGCCAAACTACCTAAAAATTATTTCAGCTACTGAAAAGAAGTAAGAAAGGTTGATGAGCCGTGTACTGGGGACAGTTTGGAGCTCCCTGCAGCCTGTTTCTTCTGATGCTGCCCCAGCTCAAGCACCTTGAAGCCCCTCCAGTGCTGTCAGGGAGCACAGATCAGCTATCTCCAGCATCACAAGAGCTCACATGTCTCCTTTTTGGGCACCTCTGGACAGTTTTCCCCCTCAGGTTTCCATTTTTCTAATATAGAAAAAAGGGAACTTGTATTTTAGAGGAATTTCTTTCAAAGTCTCAGGTGAAAAAGCTATTAAAAATTTATTTGCCCAATTCTAATTAAGTCATTCCCAGTCAAGAGTAGTGTGCCCCAATAGCCTTGCCAAGATGATGACAGAGGCAACTGGAAAATGAGTGAGCAGAGAAATTCTCCCCAGGGAAATGAAATAGTACCCAAATTACCACCATATCTTCTGCATCTGCAAAGAAGGAGACATGTTCCTCCAGGACTCTACTCTTCAACACTAATATTATTATTAAATATTTACATACCACCCTAAGTTTGCATGACACTTTACAGAGATAAAAGATGCTCTCTTTGCACTGAAGATCTTACAACCTACATCAGACACTGAAAGTAAAATTAGCAGGAAGAAGACATGATGAAGATAGAGAAAAGGATCTAATGCTGGTGACCCAAAAGCATTTTTAGATTGTAACAGCATGTGGACATGTAGCACTAGGACTGACAAAAGCTCATGGCTCTGGGGCTCTTTTTGCTTTTAGTAGCCATTTGACCACCTTCAAATTCATGGTAGCCATGTGGACCTATTTCCCTACAGCTTTGAGCCAAAGAAAGAAAATAATGCCATCCTGTAACCACTAGAAATTTTTTTTCAACTGATTTGTCTAAGGAAAAGAGAAGTCAGGCTGCAAGAGTTCAGCAGGTCTGGGCTGGACAAGTGGGAGAAAGGCCTGTGCACTACAGCACCGAGCTGAACATAGAAGTGAGAGTTGCTTGGTTCTTCAGCTTGAGTTTCCTCCATTTTGATTAATTCCCTCACTTCATTTTCATTTCTGCCAGTGTAACCAGAGAGCCATGATGAATCAGCCTTCCATCTCAGATACCCTGGGCTGGGGCTGCTCTGGCCTTTCACTGGGGCTGGAGAGACAGCAGCAGGAAATCAAAGCAGCAAAGGTGGACAGGTGGAGATCCTCAGCACAACTCTACCTGTCCAGGGCATGGGGTGGGCACCTACCTGGCAAAGTACAGGAAACACACCTCTGTAGGAATGATGCTAAAAGCCCCTCTCGAGGAGGGTAACACCCTTTCTACAAAGTGTGTAAAATAGTTTAACATATTTTAATGTAGACATTGCTCCTGTGGGTAACCAAAGCAAGCCCAGCATTAAGCTGCAGTAGGATGCAGCCTCCAGACATGAAGGGGACTTGACAGCCCCAAGCCCACCCTGCAGCTCTCTCTCTGCAGTGCTGCACCCAAAACTCCCCAGGATGGGAGACTTTGGAAGTAACAGCAGCAAGGACAAGGCCACCAGGCTTGAGAACAAGGGCCAGTCAAAGAGGAGATGTGCTGGAGCTTCCACCACAGGGATCCAGCTCAGGTGGCAAAAACCCCTTCTGGGTCCTCACTGCCCACCTATTATTTTCATTCACAAATTTGGTGATCAAGAAAAAGACATTTGCTGCCTTTTAAATTTTTAAAACTAATCTTAGCATAAATCAATGGCAATGAAAGCTTTCCCCAGGTTTCCCAGAAAATACACTTTGTTGATGGACCTGAGGCATCATGCAGAGAGAAGCAACAGCACACATCCAATTCTCTGAGACAACAACAGGCAGGACGTGCAGGGCAGAGGAGGTGCAGTCTGAGGCTTCCAGCAGCACAGAGATGCAGGCACACACATGCACACAGACACACACACATACATGCACATACACACATATAAATGCTCCCAGCAATTCAGTTAGATTAATTTGCTTTGGCTATTCCATTATTTTCCTGGTAGAGTACTTAAAGAATCAGGTTAAGCCTTTGCATTAGATACACAAACAATGCTCCTTTACCTCCACATGGGTGTTGTGAGACTTTAATTAATGTTTGTAAAGTGCTTTCAGATCCACAGAAGAAAGGCACTATAGAAGTGTATAGTCTGATTATTTCACAGCATACAAAAGTAGAGGTGAAAAGAAGTAGTCTCCTCCTTATACATAAAACTACTGATCTCAACTCCTGCATTAAAAACACCCCAAGATGTTAAGGAAGAAAAGAATTCTGACCATGAACCTACTTCAGGCTTCCCCTTTGCCTTTTTCATCTGATTTCTGGTTGAGTGAAATAATAAGCTATTGTATTGCTGTAAACTCTTTGTAAGTAGATTTGACTAAGACAACAGAGTTCAGTGCCAGCAGCTACTCTGATCATTCTTTTAAATGGAAATTTACCGTCTGCTGCATCACATGGAAAAAATATAGAACTATTTTTCACAGCTTGTTCACTGAACAGATTATTGGAGGGAAGAAAAATAAAAAGGCTTCATTTTCTACAGATCCCAAATCTTAGTGTAGAAAGTCTTGGCAATTTCCTTTTGAGAGGAGACAGATTTCACTTTCACATTGATTTAACAATGAGAAGTGCATCCAAAATGAGGGCCTGATTCTGAGCATTTAAATGGTTAGCCATAGCTGACTCCACGGCTTATCTATGGGAGAAAAACTGCTCACATCAATAAGCCTTTGTAGGATCTGGTCCTAATATAGAACCAGTTCTCAATGTCATAAAATCACTTTTAACAGCATCTTGTGTTACATTTAATTTATTTCACATGGCCTCATAAAATAAGATAAAAGCTTGTAAGTCTAAAAGTCATATTAAAAGGATTGGAAAAAATCTCCCTACCATGTATTGGTGTTTATTAAGTATTATCTTCATGCAACTTACACACTTTTAACTCCAGAATTTCCAAATTGTTTCTAATCCTAATGGCAGTCATCAAGAGCTGAGAGTGAATAATGTAAATATATTACAACACACTCATTTATTGGAGAAGAAACTCCTTCCCAAAGCTCTCATGAGACCCGGTCATCCCTTTCAGCTCGAGGCAGGAGCACAGGGCCTTACACGGGTGCCTTTCCCCTCATTTGGGTGGGGCATGGACAGACAAAGTACAGCAGTGTGGTCTGATTTCCAAACTTAGCCCAGGAAACTTGGGGATGACAGACACAAGAAGCACTGGCTTGCACCATGTCAATCTAACAGTGGCCTAAAAAATGCACAAGCATCTGTTCTTTAATGTACAGAAAATCTCCAGACACAAAAACATCCTTGGGGACAAAAAGTATTCACTTTTTAAATGAAGGTGATGGAGGGCCTCCCCTGCACCACTGTAAATGTGCTTTCTGCTTCAGCCCAGAGAGGGGAAGGAAGGAACTGGAGCCATGGTCCCCAGGTCAGCAGGTCTGCTGGTCAGAGCACACTGCTAATAATGCCAAGGTTGTGGGTTTGATCCCATAGGATCTATTCACCTAAGAGATGGCCTTGAAGATCTTAGTGTGTCTCTTCCAATTCAGAACATTCTGTGATTTAGGGAGAGCTTACCTGAAGGCCAGGGGACACAGCCAGGGCTTCTGAAAAGACATGCATGGTAGCCTCTGGTGTGGCGTAGCTTGGATCTCATAGATTCCCCATAGAAAAGAGGCTCCTTTTTCAGTGGTTGAGGGACAGTGTTCCTGGATCCTGAGGGATAGGTGAATTCAGGGCTGTAAATCAGGGAGTGAATCCTTGTCTACCCTTAGGACTCCCAAAGGTGTGTGTGCGTCTGAGTGGTTGGGCATTTCTCCAAGGTTGGCAGTAGGGCAACCAAATGCCAGATGGGCCACCTTCCTATTCACAGTATAGGTCCTTTGCTGGTGAAAGAGTATAGTAGAACTTATTATAAAAGTGCCTTCAGCATCTCAGAGCATGTCAGCAACCTTAGAGAGCTACTTTTATGAGTACTTGGTTGCCAACAAGAAAAAAACTAAAAATTAAAAAATCCCAATACTATGGTATATGAGCTAAGGCAATGTTCCATTAAAAAAACAAATCACAAAACAAACACACACACACACACACACACACAAACCACTTGCTCTTTTTTTCAGCTCACATTTCCTTAGTTTATCAATGATAACCATTACCATAAGAAAATGATGAGGTCTTACCTGATGCTGCTCTTAGGAAAAGGGTTTCAATACAGAAGGCCATCACAGATGTCAATGTTTGAAGAACCAACAGCAGACCCACTGCCTCTCCCACAGGATGCACAAGCCAGAGGCAAACCCAGGGGCAATGTGGTAAACAAACACTGTGCTTCCAACTTACGCCCTGGAAAAGAAAAGTTACTTTTGATGAACTAAAAGAATTCCTGAGGACAACTTGCAGTAAAGATAAACTTTAACCATGATTTGACATGACAGTCAATAAATAACTTCAATATAATCACACGTACCTCTTTGGTAGGCAGTGGTCTAACCCAGCAGAGATGCTTTTAGAACATGGCTGTTCTCACCAGCCCTTGATATTTTTCTTGTGATCCAGCTACATCACATTGAAAAACCTACGCCACAGCTGTCAGGGCTTCTCTCCAGCAGATAATTAAATTCCATTGTGAGAAGTGAGCTCAAGTTTAGTGACACCATCCCTGCCAACCAAACAAGAATGAGAGCCATCAGCTGCACAGACGTTGATTTCTTTGCTGAAGAAGAGGTGCCTGCAAGTACTTACCAGCATCCTCCCCGGGTAGGTGCTCAGCCCCCAGGAGGTACCTGATAATAACATGAGTACATCTCAAGGGATGATTGTGCTGGGAGCAATGCACTTATGCAAGAAGGCCTGACAAAAGTGGAACAAGTCAACAAGTTTAAAGGATATTCAAGATGTTTTCCAAACCAGAAAAAGACAGTGTTTATCTTGAGCAGTTGCATGGTAGGCTTATGCTAAATGCAAAAGAGGAAGCCATCGGTGTTTTTTCCCATGGACTGCCCTCTCGAGTTTTTCTTTTAGGTAGAGGTTTTTTTTTTTCTCATCATATGTACATCCCATATTTTTTGCAGATATGTCCATTTTCTTTAGATAGCTTTTAAACTTAGCTTGTCCATCAAAAATCAGACTGCACATTAACTAGTACCTAACAACTACCCTTCCTTTGCTATATTGCTTCATATGTAAATCTGTTATTTCTCAGCTAATTACTGAACTGTCCAATTTTATGTGCAGGTGGAGGAAAACTGCATTTTTTCCTCACAAGATAAGAATACTACTTCTCCGCTGGCATCCCAAAGAGACTGCCCCAATTAATAATGTGTAGCCAGGTCTCAAATTTAAGAACTGCACGCGCCATATCTGTTCTCTTACTTTGCTCATGGCTCAAGTGTTTCAAGCCAGCATTCCTGCTGCAGTAGCTCCAGAGATGCTAGTGGGATGTCACAGTTACAGAGGCATACATCTGTCTTGAACATGCTGTGCCAGCCAGAGAACAGCTCAGATCCCACACAGCCTCCACGCTCTTCCCTGGTACACAGGAGGAGGTGTATCTGGCCTCCAGGGAGGCTCTCCAGGAGCCTGCTGCTGAGCCAACAGCCAGAAAATGCAGCACGTTTGAGCAGGAAATTAAACCTGACTCTCCCATAGCCTCAACAAATGGCTCATCCAGCCTGCTGCAGCCAGTCTCTCGGTAGTCTCTCCATCCCCTCTGAGAACTGAACACTAACACACACATTCTGAATCAAAGCCGGCTGCCCCAGTCCATGAAACGTCATCACTGGCAGCTGCGGAGGGAGGCCTGAGGCTTGACAGCACCTAAATGCTGGGTGTAGATACTTAAAAACATGGCTAAATCAGTTGGCCCCTTTCTAGATCTCCTCCTAAGCTCCCAAAATCTGCGTTTATTCATCACCCTATGTGCTTTGCTAGCAGCATTGGCTTCTCTGCTTGTCAACACGCCGACTTCTGAATTCTCAGTGCAAAGGAAGCCTTTCATGGTTTGGCATCCTCTTATATGTTTATGCTTCTCATGATATATTCTCTAGCCAAGTCTTTAAGTTCTTACATTAGTCCCCAAGCCCAGACATCAATATGTTGCTGATCAGGTCTTTTCACATCATGCTGCTTTTATCTGGAATGCTGTTTCTGATGTATCCAGGGAAGCTGATGTTTTAAAGAATGTGATTAATTAATCTTTTTCCTTTTTGTTTAAAATACACTTGAGCACAGCTATTTCTTTTGCTATAAGACTTCAGCAAGAAATTTGCCTTCTAAATGCTATTATGCTGGGGAGGTCCTGATTTGCATCTTTGTCCTTGGATAGCATAGATGCACAGGGGTCCACAAACAGAGATTGATTGATTTCCCTGCCCCCCACCTTTTATAGTCTACAATAAAAAGTTTCTTTAAAGGGGAAGAAAAGAGAAGCACGTGCTTAATATTGAAGAATAGCCTGCTTGTGCTTGATACATTGGAGAAACAGTTCAAGAACACTTCATCCTCCTGCAACTATTTCCTGCACTTCTGCCAAGGTTAGGGAAACCTTGAGTTAGCTGCTGCCTGAATACCTTGGGCTGGTATCAGTCTGAACAAGTTCAACTGACTGCTTGGATTTTCATCTTTATTCTGCCTCCCGTTGTCTTCCCACTTTGGCAAATAGAAATCACCTTCGACTTTGGGGGAGGCCTCAGCTGAAAGCATCCAACAAAGAGAATTCCTCAAGAGATGCTGGCTGGGGGGTCAAGGTCCTTTCATTGAGGCCCCTAACTCAGCTGTGTTGGTGATCAGCCATCTGTCATAAAAATAAGACTGTAGATCAGCCTGGTCTGGGATCAGGTGGGTCAGAAAACACAACAGCATAGTCTCATAAATGACTGAAAAATTAGACCAAAAGAAAAGCAAGAAAAATCCACCTCCCTCATACTTAAACTCCCCTTTTTCACACAAGTGAAGAAAACAGAAGTAACAGAAAGAAAAAGAATCAGGCAAGTATGAAAAACTTTACCTCATTTTTCATTTTGGCTTTAAATGAAAAACACTGCTTGCCAGAAGAATCCTTGGATGCCGATTGGTTTTGCACACAGCTCCTCTGACGTACAAGCCAGAAGAGAAGTAGCACCAGGATAGAGAACAGAGAGACCGATGGATCCCAGCTCGGAACAGCTGCGGGACAACCAGCCCATCACGACTGCAGATGGAGGCTGCAATGCTGCTCCTGTGCTCACTTCAAGCTGCCCCTCACACAGGAACCAGCCCTTTCACTGTCCTTTTGCACTGCTCTGGGTCTAAGGGCTAGCTCATTTTGTGTGTCTTACGTGAAGAGGCACATGGGTAAACCTGACCTGCTGGAAAATAAGTGAAAAATCCGGCAAATTTTCCCTCTAATGGTTGTTTTTTTTTGTAATAAGAATCATGCTAACCACTGTTTTCTGTCATGGGACCATGGTCTGAGCCTAATTTTAACAGCTTCAGTCATTTAAATATAGGAAACGCAGAACACAGGGGTGAGGAAGAACTCAAGCACTTCAGCAGATACAGGAGAGCAACACCTTCTTCTGTGAGCTCCCTTGGGGAAATTGCTGAAGGTACATTACCATGGCTACCTACCTTAACAGACAACTCCTTTATTCCAGTTATTTCATGGCAGAAGAAGGGACTCCAGTGCCAGTTTTCTTTTTCTCCTTTCTTCCATGAAGGAATGACAACAGTGGTTCCTGCTGGCCAGCTCACCTCCTCCCATGGTGTCTGCATTCACCAACCGTTAAAAATCTCCCGTGGGCCTGGGGCTGTCCTGCCTCAGCTCTCTGGGTGCTGGCCTGCTGCAGATACCCTGGGGACAAGCTGCCAAAACCCCTGCCACAATCCTAGAGGGCTGTCAGGGAAAGCGCCCTGCTGGAGGAAAGTCCAGAAGCGAGAAACAACAAGAGATAAAATGGAGATAATGGGGAAAGAGCACAGGTTTATTGGGGAGGAGATTTCTGGAAGGTCCAGGGTGCATTTTATGACTGTCAAGTCTATTTTATGATACCTTTTGTTTTTTCCTTTCTGAACAATTGTGGTTAGAATACCATTATTGGCAGTAATGCTACTACTGGATAATAAAGCCTCACAGACTGGTCTGGAGCCCATGCAACAAAATACAAAGATTCCCATTGTCTTTGTCTCAGCTTCACAAAGAATAGCCAAATTACATTATTAAACACATCTGCAGATTAATTTCTGTCCACTTAAAATTTTTGCTGCCTAAAAACATCGTTTAATTTCTCTCCACTTAAAATTTTTGCTTCCTAAAAATATTGTGTCTAACCTCATCAGAAAGAAAAGGAGAAGTAGAGGGTGAGCAGAGGAAGGAAAGGCATCATATCATAAGCAGCTTGCAATGTTACAAACATGAGAATAATCTTTTTCTAAAAAAGAAAAAAAGCACCACTAACTTTTTCACATTTTAGCAAACTTCTCAATTAGGATTTCTTCCTGGCTATTTAAATATGCTTAAAGTAATGATTTGCTGTAATTTGTCTTTTTCCTTTGGAAACATACCGTGCTATTGTCAGCTTTAAAAAAGAAGCAATTTTCTGACTTTTGAGATTGAGTAGGTCACGGAAAAATTACTACTGTGGGAGCCTATAATTAAATCTAAAATGCAGCTGCACCTATAAAAAAAATAAAATTAAGTTTATTCTATTAATACTTGAGTCTAGAATTGTATTTGACTCTTCAGACACGGGTCAGCTCAAACTGTACCTTAACTGCAGAACTTCAGTAGCTGCAGTGCCACTTGCAAAAGCAGACATGATATAGTACATACAAATGTATTGGCAAGTATTTGCTGGTATCTGAATTAGAGTCAGTGTAGCATGATTGTCATTTTCACACACAGAGCCTTTCTTTCCTCTTTTCCTAGAAATGGCACTACATTTCTGGGTGTTGGTTTTGTGCTTGTTTTTTTTAAGAAACTCAATTAAAATAAATCCAGGTAAAATCACTAATGTTTATTGTAAATTTAACTAGAAGAAGTACAGAAGGGGGCTTTTGAAGAAAATAATGTAGTACATCTGAATTGAATAAAGATCTTTTCCCAGAATTTGACTAGTCATGAAATGAAGACAAGGTTCTAGACAATACCGTGACACAAAACCAGACTTTGTGTATTTATAAATAAAATTTATCATAGATCCTGACTGAATGTTCACATGGTACCAGATACAGGCTTTGAATTAAGTATTAAGTGAAAATATTGAAAAAAAAAATTTTGACCCACAAGAGATTTTAAAACACCTAAAATATACAAAATTAACAAAAGCCTCACCGAGAAAATAAGATACAGATGTTGTCTAACAACTCATGAGATTTATTCTGATGTCTGCTGATAAAAAATACTTCCACAGAAATCTTTAAAGAAATAAATAAAATCAGAAGAACAAATCAGTCTAAAATAATGGTATTGATTTTATGTATTAATAGTAAAAAAAAATAGCTTTTTAAAAATAAGTGCATTTAGGATCATCACCTTTCATTATTTTTAGGGTTATAATAGGTGGCATTCTACTGCTCTTCCATATGGCATGATTTTATATATTACACAATAATTTATAAAACTACATTGCCATAGAACCTCCTCTAATTCACTAAGTTTAAGGGTTATTTTTCCTTTCAACCAGCAGGAAGGAAATTATACTTCTTTTCATCAGTCATTCTCACATGTCCAGCTTTCCGTGCTATTATAAAGAACATACCTAAACCCAGCCAGTTTACATACATGTCTATACCCTATTTATTACATATAACAGGCTGAAACTCTTTCTTCATGTGCAAACTCCACTATTTTAATACACTTACAAATCACATCTAATACAGCTATCCACGACTACTGTGAGAATGGAAACAGCATATCAGAAAGGGTAATAGAAAGAAAAACATTTATGAGGAAACATTATACACAACACAGGATAGATCTCTTTTTCCTGTTTCAGAAATGACTTCTGAGCCACAGCGCTGTTGCAGAAAGAGCCCACAAAACCTGTATCATCATATACACTACTTGATTAAGCCCAGAAATGATCCTGAGAACCAGCAGTTTAATTATTTGATTTCACATCTACAGATTGCTTTCTCCTGGCTGCCTGTTTGGTCAGCGGCATTTTTTTTTTCCCCTACTTTGTGCCGCGGAGCTGGATTTCTGTTTTCCAGCTGCATATATTCCGTGGAGGAAAAGAAAACTGATCCATGAAGTTGCTATTTGCATAAAGTGCAGAAACATCTGTCACAAGATTCTTGTTGGTGGATTGAAGCATCAGGAGATAGTGCCACTGATCATCTGCCTTAATACTATTGAATTCTGTTTCTGTCAGCAGGAGCTGAGCGAGGGTGTTTGAGGAGGCAGAGAAAAGAGAGTTTGCTCAGAGAAGACATATTCTTACTATTACTTGAAATGAGTGATCGCGTACGTGACGCCGTCTCACACAAACACTCAGGAATGAGCTCTGCCCCAGGATCAGTAAATGCCCTGTTCCATCTGATACCAGTTTTTTTGCAAGTAAAGATCTTACAAAGGTATGCGGTGATTTAATCAGAATTCTGCAGTTGCCTACAATACACAGCAGCTTTTTTTTGTTAAACCTCGTGCAAGGAATGATCCATGTAGCACGGCTAACGTTAGAAAGTGCTCGCTCTGCAGTGCTGGTTTGAGTTTTAGTTTTGGTTTAGGGAACCAAATAAAAAATCTTGAGGAAAAATTATCTGCATCTCAGATCAGGAAAAATTTCATTCTGTTTCTGTGTGTATATATAATGCATGACTACAATCATAAGTATCAGGTGGAGCAGCCAATTCATTCATACAGAATACATAAATAGAACAGAATCTCAATGAAATATAATAGGAACAATCGAAAAAAAAAACAGAATTACTTTAGGTCAAGTGTTATTTCTAAAAACCCTAAAAGTATTTTTGTGATTATACAAATTTCATATTTTTGCATTACATTCTGCTCTTTTTTATCACAGATGATTTTTAAAATTCACTAGCTCCGTTGATAAAATTGTACAGACAGATTTCAGGCTGGCCTCCTCTCTCACAACACTGAGAGTCAGAAATCAGTCTAATCTATGGTATGCAGTGCAAACAAAGTGCTCCTCTTGGCTCCTCTGTTTCGCGGCATTTAACAGCCATTCTGGGAGGAAAATAAAGTTTCTTCACATTTACTGTCTACTTATGAAAGAAGTAGCATGAAGGTGGTCAATACAGCACTATTCTCTGTTTTCTGTCAAAAAGCTTTGAGACACTCAGCTTCCTAAACTAGGTCAGCAGAGATTAATACCACATTAGTAAAATCTCATTTGTCATTGTCATTGCAAAGCAACAAGGCTTTAAATATTTCTTATTCATAGCTGATCTCTGTAACATGTATGTGTGCTGCCTTTTTTTTTTTTTTTCCCTCGCTCTTTTACACATTCACAGATACCTCGACTCAACTGCAAATGTCTGAGTGCAGGAAATATCCTGATCAGGAGCACAGCACAATAGGTCACAGGAAACTGTGAAACAAATTATTGTAAAAATAATAATACCCCAGCAACTGCCTCAGAAGGGATCCTTGCTCCCATAAACATATTTGTATAAAAAGTTTCTCTGGCAGTGGTTCACCAGCAGGCAATAATCAGCTAACATACTTCTTTGTAATTTTTTTGTTTCATAAATAATACAGGAGTTTACTAACAGGAAGTTTGTGGGAAGCAACAGTAAACAGTCTAGCAATCCATCTGTTATTGCAGAATGCAAGAAAGCTGAATCAGATTCTGTGCAAGTGGACTATTTTTGCTGTTTGTACTAGCAAAGATGTGTGGGAAATGGGCATTTAGAGTCATTGTTAACATGAACTCCTGTGGACCTCCTTTCTCCCTCGCCTTGCAGAAAGGGATGTCTGGGTGCAATTTCAGCAAGAAGCCTGAGGATTTCTGTGGCTACAGAGCAGCTCGTAATAAACCTGAGCAAAGCAGACAAGGCATTTGTATCAGACGTGAAATATTCAAGTGACAGTTACAAAGGGACTTTTGCTTCCTCGAAATCAAACTCAGAAAGAATGACTTCTAAATTAAAACACTCACAAACTCATGTTAGCGCCTTCCTCAGCATCAAGATATTTATCAGGAAGAAGTTGAAGGGTTGGAGGGAACTGGAGTAGGAGAAAAGGAAACAAGGAAAAATAAGGTAACGATGGAGGTTGTACTGACAGACTTTCTGTGCCAGCACAAGTAGAGAGTCAAGCAAGGGTGAAAAAAAAAACTAGTATCTTTCCTGAAGACAGACTGTTCTGCTGGCATTGGTCCACCCTTGATATATTGCTTATGAATAGAAGGCTAGAAAGAGAGCGGGGGCAGGCGTGTAAATTAGTCACTACTACTACAAAAGCAAGCTTTCCTTGCCAACGGCAACGCGGTGTCTCACCTCAAAGATTAATTTGTAGCGCTGAAGTGCGTGTCCAAGACAAAAAGTTGTGCTGCGAAATAAATGAGAGTCAGAAGTGTAAGTATAGGATTATACCCTGTGCTTACTAGGAATCACTTAATTTTAACAAGCTAACAAATTCTGCTTATTCACAACGCATCTGAATATTACACATTGCACTTGGTTTAGAAGACAGTAAATACGCAGAAAACCTCTGTCCAAAACAAAACCTGCTAAAAAGACGTATAAAGTTGTCAAGAAACAAAAACGTCAAATTGCGGGGCACGGTACCAAGCCGATGGTTGTGCGCCGAACAGCGCCGGGGCAACGTCGCAGGGCTCCCCGCGGGGAGGGCAGCTCCAGCGGGACGCTCGCAAGTGTTTACAGCGGCAAAGCGACGCCTTTGGCCGCCGGCCGGCCCCTCACGGCGCTGCCACACGCCGGGGGGAGCGCGGAGCGATGGGCTCGCTGCGGGGAGGGATGGCCGGGCCCGAACAGGGGAGCCGCGGCCGCTCCACCCTTCCCGCCGGGGGCTGCTGCCGGCAGGGCCGGCACCGAGGGGCGGCTGAGGGGCGGCTGAGGGCTGAGGAGGGTCGGCTGAGGGCTGAGGAGGGGCGGCCGAGGGCGGCTGAGGGCTGAGGAGGGGCGGCTGAGGGCTGAGGAGGGGCGGCTGAGGGCGGCTGCGGGCTGAGCGGCGGCTGCGGCCCCCGCGCGCCTCCCGCGGCGCTCTGCTGCCCCCTGCCGGCCGCCGCGCGCACCGCGGGCCCGGCGCCCTGAGGGGGCGGAGCGCGCGGCCCGGGGAAAGCCGGGATTCCCCCGGGAGAACGGGAGCGGGCCCGGCCCGCGGCCCTCTGCGGGACCGCCGGTGCTCCCCGGACAAGCTGCCTCTTCTCACCAGATTCACCCTCGTTTGGACAAGGAACATAAAGACAGACAGTGAGGGTTTGAAGGCTGCGCTGTCTGCACTGGAGCGCGAACTTCGGCAAAAATGGTTTTGCACGGCAGCGCTGGACCCTTGCCATCGCAGCTGATACTGACCATTCAGTTATTATTCCTCAAAGCAGTAAAAGACATCACCAAACACCTGATAGTGCAGTCCTGTGCCTGGAGCTGAGGCCAGATGAGCCTTTGTGGTCCCTTCCAGCCTGACCCGTGCTGTGAGCGTGGGTCTGTGAACTCCAGAAGTTACAAAGGCTCCTTCCTCTGCATCAGTTATTCCGGTACAATGGCCAGCAACCTAACTTTTTTTTTTTTTTTTTTTTTTTTTTTTTTTTTTTAGGACTAAATTTTTGATCATTTTCCCTCAAAATGGTAAAAAAGCCAGAAAATCCCTGTTTTTAAAAGTCAGCATCTGAGTCTCTTTTGTCAGTGCCTGCACAGTGCCCATCCCTCCCTCACACAAGTGCCCCAGAAGTAAATGACACAGCACCACCACTCTGCTGCATGTCTCCCATAGGGGCACATCAGGGGCACAGCAGTAGAAGTGAACTTGTCAAAATGTGTGTCAAACAGCTGTGGCACTGCAGCCGAGCACTGGCAACACCAAGTATTTCTAGCTTCTTGATTTGTTTGGGCTTTGTTTTCGTTTTTTGAGTGTGGTAAAACTTACTGCTCCTCACTGGTTCCTGCCAGCATTCACCTGCAAGTGATTCAGCTGTGTGACTTTTTTGCCTCGAAGACTGAGAAGGATACCTTTTATCTGATCATCTAAATCTCACCCACTTCTGCACAGTTCAAGAGTTGTGCCACTGAGCCAGTTCTACCCAAAAAAAGAAAAAAAAATTGCACGGTAAGAATTGGTGTGATTTTGTAACATTCTTTTTGTTTTGTACTGCTTGTCTATCTCTGCATCCTGATGGGATTGATTTCAACACTCTTCAGGGTACCAACACAGCCCAGGTATTAAGTGAGGTACTTATGATGGTGTGGGGCTCCACCTAGGCACACACAGCCTCTCCACAGCAGCAGCATGCACTCACTTGAGCATGGCAGGCACAAACGTGCACAATTTTTCTGTACTCAGAATGAGACACAGCAAGCTTAACAATCCAGTGTTCTCTGTCACCAGAAACTGCTGTGATGAAGGGTCCTAATGGTATTTCTGAGTATTCACTGATGCTTCTGCAACCCTGGGTACCCAGCAAAGCTCACCCAGTAAGTGTTTGGTGTTACAGACATTTGTGCACCACAGGAGTTACAAATGTGAGCTAACTGCAGGCTGGCAAAAAGGCCCAAACACTGAGCAGTCTGGACACAAAGCCTTTCATCCCTCCCTCCCTCCCAGCTGTGCCAGACACATCTTGTCTCTTGACCCAACAGAAAGGTCTAGCATTGGGTGCAACTTCTGCCATTACTTATCTGGGTTTCCTGGCAGAAGTGTTCTCCAATGGATCCAACAGACTGAAAGAGATACAGCAAACCTCATCTCTTTGCCAATACTCTAAGGGAGAAAGTGGAATCTCCACAAGCATGCCAAAACTTCATCTCCAAAATGCTGATCCCTTGGTTCACCCTGGATGCAATGAGGTGCAATAAAACTGGGATTCTCACCACTTTTGTTTAGCCTGCCTTAACAACCCTGTTGGGTCTTTCCTTAAGCCTCACCTTCAGGTTGGCAAAAAGAAGGCTGCTTCATGTCCTCCATTTACATGGCAGTCCTCTCTTTCAGACACTTCTGCTCAAGCTGCCATTCCCCATGGGAGTCTCTGCTCAGGTTCATGGCCCTGTTGTGAGCTCTCAGGACACCTTCTCACACCTCCCGTAGCAGTCAGTGCTCCTCCCAGCTGTAATTCCTGCAGCACCTGCAAGCAGGGACTTTCCACAGGGGGCAGAAGCTGTGTTCAGGGCTTTTATGGAACCCATGGCAGCCAAGCATTTCTCCTGCAATGTTCAGAAGACACAAGTGAAGTAGATTGGATCCCCTAATGCAAGATTAGTTTGTCATCATAATTAAATGGATGGTCAAACTCCTCCTTGCCAGAGTCCCTACATCTGATGGAGCTACACTACAGGAGACAACTTTTCCTAGAGAGATTAAGTCTTTTTCTAAGTCCAGTTACCTCACTTGGATGAATCAATCTGTGAATCAATTTTATACCACCCCTGTTACTGCTATTTCTCTTGCATTTGGAAGTGAACTCACGTTGAAAACCACCAGCCTGTCAATTAAAAGTGTTATAGACAGGAACCTTAGAAATTGATCCTATACTAGAACCTTTGCCCAGATTTATTGAGTCATGGTGGTAATTTATTTCCTCTTTACCAGGGGAAATCCCTGTCTCTATAGTTACCTTTTATCTTCACTCCAGTTTTGTGCCCAGTTCAGTTACCTGATCCTTACTATTTTCTCCTGTTCATGGTGACCAAACCCACTTATGGGTGGAACAGTATTTCATATGGCTTTGAAGCTAGTGAGGATAATTTAAAACAGATTAAAATCACTGGAATTTTTTAAGACATCCAAGACAAACAATCCCAGATAAAGGAACTAGGATGGACAAACTACTGACATACTTGCTGACAAAAAATAAATTTTCTTCAAAAAGGGAAATGCATTGCTTCCAGTTTGATTACTCACAGAAAGTGCTGCTGGGGATATATCAGAAATACACACCTACATATTATTTACTCTCAAATAACAGCAAATACAATTAGCACTAGAGGTGATGAGCACTGATGCATATTTTCTCCTGTTGGTGGTATAGTTCTGAAGTAGGAAAAATTACACTGAAAATACAAGGCATCTAAATAGAGGATGTATTCATAGAACAGTGCTTAAAAGAAGACATTGTGTTTTATTAGGAGAAAAAAATCATTCCTAAAGAACAAGCTTAGGTCATCAGTGTAGTGTCCCTCTGTGTGGTGTGAAGTGAGCACAGGACAGAGTTAAGGACCTGCAATGGGTGTGCCCAAAATGCACAGAACGACCCCCAATCTACATGAAAATTTTGTGTCCTCAAATAAAGACAAAATTACCTGAAAGACTGAAACACAGGAAGAGTAATTTTAAATGTCCATCTAATAAACATTTTTAACTAATTTTGCTTTAAAACAGTGACATTTCTATTACAGTAGTTCCACAAAGAGCCTCAGAGTTAGAAAAAAAAATTGCCATATCTTTACAACTCTGAATTGTACTAAAGGCCATCATGAGGTCAGTTTTTGTGATGTTCTCCCTGGAGAATTTTTCCAGCCCTAGCACTCTAGACATGTTTTTCTGTCTTTGCATAGTTTTCCTTCCCAGCCCCTCTCATTACATGCAATAATACATCCTCTGTTTCAATTTGAGGCTATTGTGTAACGTTCCACAAATCACATCTTGGAACCAGAGTGCTCAGCTTTCATCTTATGTCTTTTTATTTATTTTTTTTTTCTGCCTTGAAAAAGAAAAATAAAAAGTCATAAGAAGAATGCTTTGGGAATATCGCCCTCTGTCTGCAGTTGTAGTCGTGTTCACTGCAATAGCTGGGGAAAAGCAGTGGACAAGCGGGTGTGCGCTGCCCTTACAAATAAGGACGTACATGACGAGGAATCATAGCTCTGCTGAGGCTTCTTAGTGTGTCTTAAGCAGAATGCAGCATGTGAGTCTGTGAAACAGAGCATCCAGCATGAGTGAGGCCGAAATGACCCATATATCACCTACATGTTAGGGTATGTCAATCAAAATACAGACTTGCAAGTGCTGTTCTTCATCATCGTCCCACAAAGTCCTTGAAAACTCCTGAATTTTCATGGGACTGATTGAAAATTTTCTCTTAAGAGAACTGCAAGTTTTAAACAAACCATATTCATTACTTGCAATCCAAACCTTTCCTTTTTAGTATATATGTGGAATCTAGGTATGTATTTTCTGATTGCTTCAGCCTAAAAAAATGCACTGAACAAATGCTCCAACATTAAAGCTATATTCACTCCAGGACTTGGCAAGACTGTATAAACCTCAGGTCAATAGCTGTAAGTGAACTGCACATTTTTCTCACAGTAAATTTAATAAAACTCCCAAAGGTTTTAATTTTAAAAGACTTTTTAAACATTTTATATTCTCCTGTTTCTTTCTTAATATGGACAGGAAGAGTTCTTTGTATGGTCTGATGGGAATATCTACAAGAAAGCATTAGAAACTGCATCTCCAAGCACCTTTCTTTCCCAGCTCAGTTACCAAATTTATTTCCTTCATTGGTGCTCAACCAGCTGCAAGGTCTGAGAAGTGTGTAATGCATTTTCAGCACAAAAAGTGTCATCTGTGTGGGATTTAGAAGTTGTGTGTGTATAAAAATAATAAAGCTCAGTTATAATTTGAGGCAACCTAGACAAAGGAAACTAGACAAGGAAGAGTTCAGCAGATCATCAAGCCTTTTCAATGATCCCACTAAGTGACTTTCCCAAGAGTCAGTCACGCTACCAGGGAAGAGGAAACAAGCCTATATGGCATGGATTGGTACCCACCCCAACTCTGCTTAGTCCCATCACCAGGCAGACAATCGGACAGCAGTTACACAGATTTTTTTACCCATAGCACATTTTCCTTCCCCAGGGAACTCCTCAGCAGAGGGGACAAA